ATGGAATAAGCTCTAAATCAGGCTTTGTGACGTAGGGAGCCTTACGCTATACTTGTCCCTTTGTGTTCACATGTTTCCGCCCACACATACTGCAATAAACTGGCTCCAAACACTCACACATCCGGGGCCTTGTTTGTGTACGTTTGACAGTTCCTCTTCAATCAAATACATACCTTTCATTTACAGCATTATTGTAGATTTAAACCTGTTTATTAATTTGTTAAAAGGGTAGAGTCAGGGCTTTGTTTCCTCACACATACCTGCTCTGTGTGGCACCTGACTTTTTTTATCTTTATATTAACATTTAATTCAACAATACAACAAAAAATAAGACAAACATATGACAACATAATAAAATACAATAAGCAACCAAGAAACAGAATGTGTTGTATAGGCCGGACATTCGACAGAAGTGTGTGTGTTTGTGTGTGTGTGTGGGGGGCAAAGGGTGTAGTTGACAACGATGGTGGTGGCTGCAACGACTGAAATGAAACCAGGGCGGAGTGGCAGAAAGGACTAGAATGTGGCACCTGACAAAATGGAAGGGCAGTAGAGCATTTCCGTGTTTAAACTATAAACCCAGAGGAGTGATGTCACAGCTGAGAACTCTGGCTCCACCCAATTAAAGAAGGGGTTCATTAATTAACCTGTTTTTAGGGGTTTAATATTCATACTTGGATACATACTATATATAAGAAGTTTCCAGACAATCATGTTAGGCCTTGTATACAAGCCAGGTGTATCTCACTCAGACCTAATGTGTGTGTTGTAGGTCCTGATATCTCACTCAGACCTGATGTGTGTGTTGTAGGTCCTCATATTTCACTCAGACCTGATGTGTGTGTTGTAGGTCCTCATATTTCACTCAGACCTGATGTGTGTGTTGTAGGTCCTAATATCTCACTCAGACCTGATGTGTGTGTTGTAGGTCCTAATATCTCACTCAGACCTGATGTGTGTGTTATAGGTCCTAATATCTCACTCAGACCTGATGTGTGTGATGTCGGTCCTAATATCTGATTATCTTGCGTCACATTACAGGTCTTCCTGTGACACGCATTTTCACACACGTCTCTCCTGCACTTTCTTATATTCTCCGCTTCTGTTAAACCTTTCATATAAGCCCCAGACCGAGGGGCACAGGGAGTGTGTGGCTGCAAGGCCAAAGAAAAGCGTTTCCTACGAGTATAACTCCCTCTGTCCTGACCCTGCTCTCAGTAGTGCTATCGCAGTAACACTTCAGACATTAAAGAATCAGTCTTTATTTAATCACCAGAACACACACACACACTTGTAACTTCCCTGCCTCCGATCGCTTCGCTTTGTTTCCTCACACATACCTGCTCTGTGTGGCACCTGACTTTTTTTATCTTTATATTAACATTTAATTCAACAATACAACAAAAAATAAGACAAACATATGACAACATAATAAAATACAATAAGCAACCAAGAAACAGAATGTGTTGTATAGGCCGGACATTCGACAGAAGTGTGTGTGTTTGTGTGTGTGTGTGGGGGGCAAAGGGTGTAGTTGACAACGATGGTGGTGGCTGCAACGACTGAAATGAAACCAGGGCGGAGTGGCAGAAAGGACTAGAATGTGGCACCTGACAAAATGGAAGGGCAGTAGAGCATTTCCGTGTTTAAACTATAAACCCAGAGGAGTGATGTCACAGCTGAGAACTCTGGCTCCACCCAATTAAAGAAGGGGTTCATTAATTAACCTGTTTTTAGGGGTTTAATATTCATACTTGGATACATACTATATATAAGAAGTTTCCAGACAATCATGTTAGGCCTTGTATACAAGCCAGGTGTAGGGCCTGTTGTGGAAATAAATAAATAAATCTAAAAACACGTATCTTGAGAGAACTGTAAATACATTTTTAGATGTATTTATGTATTAGATTTGCATTCTTTCCTCTGCCATCTGGACCTCTCCATGCTACACAAACTCACAAATGGTGGCAGTGGTGTTTCCCATTTTTAAAGAAGGTGGCTCCAAAGCAACCTTCATATAGGACTTTCCAAAGATCAGAGAATCCAACAATTCAAACACAGGAAATGAGTGTATAGTGTAGAGGGATGAAAAAAAGTGCATACATGTCCTTAAGACTGTAAAATTCCTCTCCTAGGGCCTGGCTCTTCTCTAGTAGAAGTTTGAAGATAAATGTGTCAGTCTTTACAGCAGTAAAGGGCTCGCTCCAATGGCAGCTTTTCTTTTTCAAGATCCAAATCTCAGACGGTTGTACAGTGTTTATGATGAGACAGATGAAGGTGATTAGATGAATATGGCTGTTGATGCACCTTTAACACAAAACAATGTGCAGTTGGCTTAAAAACACCTGCACCCGATTTAGCTACTTTCCATCTACAGTCCTTGCCACGGCATCATCTTCCGGCGCAATGTAGCAAACGTGTGTGTGTGTGTGTGTGTGCGTTTGTTTTGTGGACATATGAGGACTTTTATATGATAACACACCTTCAATATCAGGACCTGAGGAAATGTCAGGACTTTTTTCAGGTCCCCATTTTTCCATGCATACTACAGTGTTGTAGAGGCCCAGAACAAGCTCCACACCAAAAATCAAGCATGTCCCAAAATGTCTACAAATAGTGAAAATGTGTGTCGGGGCCGAAACACTCCGTCCCAAAAAGTTTGAAGCGCCTCTCTGGTCGTGCACGGTACTACCTTAACACACTTTTAACACACACACACTTGTCCTCATATGTCACCTATTTTGTCACAAACTTAAATACATTCCCAGAGGTGGGTAGAATAGCCAAAATATTGACTCATGGTAATTTAAAAAGATACTTGAGTAGTGAGTGTGTGTTTGTAAAAAAAAAAAAAAAAAACTTTCAGCCAGAAGGGGCCTTTTGGAGTGGAGCTTGCATGTTCTCCTTGTGTCAGTAGATTATCTCCCTGAAAAATTGTCTTAACTCCAGTTGGAAAATCATGTTTAAATTAGAATTTAAAACATCAAAAACAAATATAAAAGTGAGGTGTCAAAAATTACAAACACAATGTATAAAAATAAATAATTCTACATTAAAGTTATAATGTATTTGTCCATCTACAGAGTTACTCTCCGTGAAAGGAGTAACGATTGATAAATATTTCACTCAGACCTGAAGTGCTTGTTATACTGTAGGTCCTAATATGTCACTCAGACCTGATGTGTGTGTTGTAGGTCCTAATATCTCACTCAGACCTGATGTGTGTGTTGTAGGTCCTAATATCTCACTCAGACCTGATGTGTGTGTTGTAGGTCCTAAAATCTCACTCAGACCTGATGTGTGTGTTATAAGTCCTAATATCTCACTCAGACCTGATGTGTGTGTTGTAGGTCCTAATATCTCACTCAGACCTGATATGTGTGTTGTAGGTCCTAATATATCACTCAGACCTGATGTGTGTGTTGTAGGTCCTAATATCTCACTCAGACCTGATGTGTGTGTTATAGGTCCTGATATCTCACTCAGACCTAATGTGTGTGTTGTAGGTCCTGATATCTCACTCAGACCTGATGTGTGTGTTGTAGGTCCTCATATTTCACTCAGACCTGATGTGTGTGTTGTAGGTCCTCATATTTCACTCAGACCTGATGTGTGTGTTGTAGGTCCTAATATCTCACTCAGACCTGATGTGTGTGTTGTAGGTCCTAATATCTCACTCAGACCTGATGTGTGTGTTATAGGTCCTAATATCTCACTCAGACCTGATGTGTGTGATGTCGGTCCTAATATCTGATTATCTTGCGTCACATTACAGGTCTTCCTGTGACACGCATTTTCACACACGTCTCTCCTGCACTTTCTTATATTCTCCGCTTCTGTTAAACCTTTCATATAAGCCCCAGACCGAGGGGCACAGGGAGTGTGTGGCTGCAAGGCCAAAGAAAAGCGTTTCCTACGAGTATAACTCCCTCTGTCCTGACCCTGCTCTCAGTAGTGCTATCGCAGTAACACTTCAGACATTAAAGAATCAGTCTTTATTTAATCACCAGAACACACACACACACTTGTAACTTCCCTGCCTCCGATCGCTTTGCTCCACACTTTTCATTCTCATTCATTCATTTCTCATTGCTCGTACGCTCGTTGCTGAAGTGTGTGTGTGCACTCGTGTCCGCGGTGCGCACACACACACGTGCACACATATGTTACTATCTGCCCTGACCCTCGCTCTCAGTGTGGTGCTATTGCAATAACACTTCAGACATTCAAGAATCAGTCTCTATTCGCCAGAACACACACACACAAACACACACATTCCCGCAAACACTAGTGAGGTCGTAGTTAAAAACATGAAAACTGAGGACTTGCCTTTCCCAATGTTTTAGGAGGAAGAAAAAACACTTTCTAGACACTTGATGGCGCTGCGGAGCTATACACTCCATTGAAAAAATTTTAGAACCAAGATTTAAGAAAAAGTTTTGAACCATCAGAGTGGGGGCAATAAGTGAAATTTGCAAAAAAAATCATGAATAGACCTTTTTTTTAACTCTTTGAAGGTATATTTAGAATTATATAGTTGGTCACATGTGCAAATGGACACAGATTATTATGTGGGATCACAGCAATTTTAATAAAACAAAGCAAAACATTTGAAAGACAGGTTTATTTGCATCTTTGTATTTTGACTTGTCCCAACAGGACAATTACAAAGGACCTAATACAAAGTGCTCTTGAACGGGACTTTAAAACATAACTGCACTTAACATTAAAGCAGGGCGGTCAAACTCATTCCTAAAGCGCCGCAGTGGCTGCAGGTTTTCCATCAGACCAAGCAGGAGCAGAGCAGACTCCTCCCATTTCCTCAAACCTTCAGGTTAAGACTGAACTCACTGAGGAAATGGGAGGAGTCTGCTCTGCTCCTGCTTGGTCTGATGGAAAACCTGCAGCCACTGCGGCGCTTTGGGAATGAGTTTGACACAAATACCAGCTACACAAGCTGCCTCTTGAGTCGGATAATAGTATTATACACAAAGTACTTGAGGTCCTTCCAGGTTCTGTTGATGAGGGCTGCAGACTCCTGTGTGAGGCACAGCACACAGAGCCAGGTACTTCCCCATCCTCTTCTCCACGGCTCTCCTCCTCACTCCAGGGTTTCTTTGGGTTTCTAGAAGCTTCTGATGGAGACAATAAGACACATAAGACTTATGTTTATCCTGATGACCAGGTCTGGACCAGGTCTAAACCAGGACTGAACCAGGACTAAACCAGGACTAAACCAGGACTGAACCAGGACTGAACCAGGTCTACCCTAGGTCTAAACACCAGGACTGAACCAGGTCTAAACCAGGACTGAACCAGGTCTAAACCAGGACTGAACCAGGACTGAACCAGGTCTAAACCAGGACTGAACCAGGACTAAACCAGGACTAAACCGAACCAGGACTAAACCAGGCCTAAACCAGGTCTGAACCAGGACTAAACCAGGACTAAACCAGTACTAAACCAGGACTAAACCGAACTAGGACTGAACCAGGTCTAAACCAGGTCTAAAAAAGGACTGAACCAGGACTTAACCAGGACTGAACCAGGTCTAAACAAGGACTGAACCAGGACTGAACCAGGCCTAAACCAGGTCTAAACCAGGTCTAAACCAGGACTAAACCAGGATCAGTTGTACTCACCATCTGTCCTCTTGGTCCGTTTGTTTTTCTGGGCCTTTGTGGAGGTCGGCTCTAGCTCCTCTTCATCAGACACTTCAGCACACGCTAAGAACACACAGAAGGGTCAGCAAGGACTAAACCAGGTCTGAACCAGGACTAAACCAGGACTGAAACAGGTCTAAACCAGGACTGAACCAGGACTAAACCAGGTCTGAACCAGGACTAAACCAGGACTAAACCAGGACTAAACCAGGACTAAACCAGGACTAAACCAGGACTAAACCAGGTCTGAACCAGGACTAAACCAGGACTGAACCAGGACTGAACCAGGACTGAACCAGGACTAAACCAGGACTAAACCAGGACTGAACCAGGACTAAACCAGATCTACCCTAGGTCTAAACCAGGTCTAGCCTAGGTCTAAACCAGGACTAAACCAGGACTAAACCAGGACTAAACCAGGACTAAACCAGGACTAAACCAGGACTAAACCAGGACTAAACCAGGACTGAACCAGGACTGAACCAGGACTAAACCAGGCCTAAACCACGTCTAAACCACGTCTAAACCAGGACTAAACCAGGTCTAAACCAGGACTGAACCAGGACTGAACCAGGCCTAAACCAGGTCTAAACCAGGTCTAAACCAGGACTAAACCAGGATCAGTTGTACTCACCATCTGTCCTCTTGGTCCGTTTGTTTTTCCGGGCCTTTGTGGAGGTCGGCTCTAGCTCCTCTTCATCAGACACTTCAGCACACGCTAAGAACACACAGAAGGGTCAGCAAGGACTAAACCAGGACTAAACCAGGACTGAACCAGGACTGAACCAGGACTGAACCAGGACTAAACCAGGACTAAACCAGGACTGAACCAGGACTAAACCAGGACTGAACCAGGACTAAACCAGATCTGAACCAGGACTAAACCAGGATAACTAGGACTAAACCAGGACTAAACCAGGACTAAACCAGGACTAAACCAGGACTAAACCAGATCTACCTAGGTCTAAACCAGGTCTAGCTAAAACCAGGACTAAACCAGGACTAAACCAGGACTGAACCAGGACTGAACCAGGACTAAACCAGGCCTAAACCACGTCTAAACCAGGACTAAACCAGGTCTAAACCAGGACTGAACCAGGACTGAACCAGGCCTAAACCAGGTCTAAACCAGGTCTAAACCAGGACTAAACCAGGATCAGTTGTACTCACCATCTGTCCTCTTGGTCCGTTTGTTTTTCTGGGCCTTTGTGGAGGTCGGCTCTAGCTCCTCTTCATCAGACACTTCAGCACACGCTAAGAACACACAGAAGGGTCAGCAAGGACTAAACCAGGTCTGAACCAGGACTAAACCAGGACTGAAACAGGTCTAAACCAGGACTGAAACAGGACTAAACCAGGACTGAACCAGGACTAAACCAGGTCTGAACCAGGACTAAACCAGGACTAAACCAGGACTAAACCAGGTCTGAACCAGGACTAAACCAGGACTGAACCAGGACTGAACCAGGACTGAACCAGGACTGAACCAGGACTAAACCAGGACTAAACCAGGACTGAACCAGGACTAAACCAGGACTGAACCAGGACTAAACCAGATCTACCCTAGGTCTAAACCAGGTCTAGCCTAGGTCTAAACCAGGACTAAACCAGGACTAAACCAGGACTAAACCAGGACTGAACCAGGACTGAACCAGGACTAAACCAGGCCTAAACCACGTCTAAACCAGGACTAAACCAGGTCTAAACCAGGACTGAACCAGGTCTACCCTAGGTCTAAACACCAGGACTACCCCAGGACTGAAACAGGTCTAAACCAGGTCGAAACCAGGTCGAAACCAGGACTAAACCAGGATCAGTTGTACTCACCATCTGTCCTCTTGGTCCGTTTGTTTTTCTGGGCCTTTGTGGAGGTCGGCTCTAGCTCCTCTTCATCAGACACTTCAGCACACGCTAAGAACACACAGAAGGGTCAGCAAGGACTAAACCAGGTCTGAACCAGGACTAAACCAGGACTAAACCAGGACTAAACCAGGACTAAACCAGGACTACCCTAGGTCTAAACCAGGTCTGAACCAGGTCTGAACCAGGTCTGAACCAGGTCTAAACCAGGTCTAAACCAGGTCTAAACCAGGTCTAAACCAGGACTAAACCAGGACTAAACCAGGACTAAACCAGGACTAAACCAGGACTGAACCAGGACTACCCTAGGTCTAAACCAGGACTAAACCAAGTCTAAACCAGGACTGCCCTAGGTCTAAACCAGGACTAAACCAAGTCTAAAAAAGGACTGAAACAGGACTAAACCAGGACTAAACCAGGACTGAACCAGGACACCAGGTAAACCAGGACTAAACCAGGACTAAACCAGGACTAAACCAGGACTAAACCAGGACTAAACCAGGACTAAACCAGGACTAAACCAGGACTAAACCAGGACTGAACCAGGACTACCCTAGGTCTAAACCAGGACTGAACCAGGACTGAACCAGGTCTAAACCAGGACCTGGTTTAGTCCTGGCTTTGGTTTAGTCCTGGTTTAGTCCTGGTTTAGTCCTGGTTTAGTCCTGGTTTAGTCCTGGTTTAGTCCTGGTTCAGACCTGGTTTAGTCCTGGTTCAGACCTGGTTTAGTCCTTGCTGACCCTTCTGTGTGTTCTTAGCGTGTGCTGAACCAGGATCAGTTGTACTCACCATCTGTCCTCTTGGTCCGTTTGTTTTTCTGGGCCTTTGTGGAGGTCGGCTCTAGCTCCTCTTCATCAGACACTTCAGCACACGCTAAGAACACACAGAAGGGTCAGCAAGGACTAAACCAGGTCTGAACCAGGACTAAACCAGGACTAAACCAGGACTGAACCAGGACTACCCTAGGTCTAAACCAGGACTACCCTAGGTCTAAACCAGGACTGAACCAGGACTGCCCTAGGTCTAAACCAGGACTAAACCAGGTCTAAAAAAGGACTGAAACAGGACTAAACCAGGACTGAACCAGGACTGAACCAGGACTGAACCAGGACTGAACCAGGACTGAACCAGGTCTAAACCAGGACTAAACCAGGTCTAAACCAGGACTGAACCAGGAATAAACCAGGATCAGTTGTACTCACCATCTGTCCTCTTGGTCCGTTTGTTTTTCTGGGCCTTTGTGGAGGTCGGCTCTAGCTCCTCTTCATCAGACACTTCAGCACACGCTAAGAACACACAGAAGGGTCAGCAAGGACTAAACCAGGTCTGAACCAGGTCTGAACCAGGACTAAACCAGGTCTAAGCCAGGACTAAACCAGGTCTAAGCCAGGACTAAACCAGGACTAAACCAGGACTGAACCAGGTCTACCCTAGGTCTAAACCAGGTCTAAACCAGGTCTGAACCAGGTCTGAACCAGGTCTGAACCAGGACTGAACCAGGTCTGAACCAGGTCTACCCTAGGTCTAAACCAGGACTGAACCAGGACTAAACCAGGTCTACCCTAGGTCTAAACCAGGTCTGAACCAGGTCTGAACCAGGTCTGAACCAGGACTAAACCAGGTCTGAACCAGGACTAAACCAGGACTGAACCAGGTCTGAACCAGGTCTGAACCAGGTCTGAACCAGGTCTGAACCAGGTCTGAACCAGGTCTGAACCAGGTCTGAACCAGGACTAAACCAGGACTAAACCAGGACTAAACCAGGACTGAACCAGGTCCGAACCAGGACTAAACCAGGACTGAACCAGGTCCGAACCAGGACTAAACCAGGACTGAACCAGGTCCGAACCAGGACTAAACCAGGACTGAACCAGGACTGAACCAGGACTAAACCAGGTCTACCCTAGGTCTAAACCAGGTCTAGCCTAGGTCTAGCCTAGGTCTAAACCAGGACTGAACCAGGACTAAACCAGGACTAAACCAGGATCAGTTGTACTCACCATCTATCCTCTTGGTCCGTTTGTTTTTCTGGGCCTTTGTGGAGGTAGGCTCTAGCTCCTCTTCATCAGACACTTCAGCACACGTTAAGAACACACAGAAGGGTCAGCAAGGACTAAACCAGGTCTGAACCAGGACTAAACCAGGACTAAACCAGGTCTAAACCAGGTATGAACCAGGACTGCAGTCATGTGTCTCAGGTGTTAGACTCACCATCAGGGGGCTTGTCCATGGGACCATCAGCCTCAGCCTCCAAGTCACTGTGCTGAAGCTCTGTTTGGTCTGTGAACATATGAAAGATAATCATCATCATGAATCATGCCTTTTGATCATATTTATGTAGAGTACAAACCACAGACAGCTGCATCCAGGGTCTGGAGGGTCTTTCCCTTTAGGGCCTCTGCCCCACCTTCCATTGCAAACAACAGCTTCCCAACTTTAGCCACTTGAAAGGTTTTATCAGTCTGTCTGTAGTAGTTGCAGTGGACTCTGATGTCGTGGCCCATGAACTTTGTAACCTGCTCCAGCTCTTGGTTCGAGAGGTCCAGAAGTTGACACAATGTTGCCACGTGTTTCCTTAATTTAGTCGACCTGAGCATTGTAGGGTTTTCAGCTCCACACACAAGGGAAAACTTTCTTAAACAGTCACAACCACGAATATGTGTGTTTGTTCCAATGTTTGCAAATAAAAAAGGATTGTCTTGTGGTGTTCCAACTTTGTCCCTGAGCTCGATCATGAAGTCTATTGAAGCTTTAGTGCGCGCCAGGAACAGCACGGGGACTTTCCGCCCTCTTTTGCCTCTCGTAACCATCCGAGTGAGTCTGCGTCTCTACAGGTGACAGTGTTTCATGTCTTTGTTCATGTGACCAGTGTCAGCGCTCTTAAACGTCTCCAGTGTGATCCTTGATGCTTCTCCTTCACGTTTTTTGTTGAAGACGATCACTTGAGCAGAAGACTTTCGCTAAGCTGTTTGTATGACGACACAGTTACATTCTGCCTCAGGTCGGCTATGGCTTGGTCCTCTATAGTCCTCAGGTGATTCTGCAGCGCAACAATGTCCTTCGTCAATGGAACACTGTCGTCTTTGTTCCATTTGTTTTGCTCTATTGAGCTGTGAGCGTTTGCCGAAACATAGTCTGACCACATTTTGTCCAGAAGCTCTTTAAACTTCTTTGCTTTGTTTTCACCAACAACATCCGACTTCATGATGCAGTGACCGATCCAAGCATTGGTCGCTGCTTTGAGAGAAAAGCCTATCTTCACCGCTGTTGAAGGTTTTCCATACTCTGACTTTTCTGAATTGAATTTTGCTACTTTTTTAGCTGCTGCTATTGCCAAGTTAAAATGTGTGGGGTCGCACAAATCTTTCTCTGATGCGTTTGTCAATTTGTTTAGCTGCTAAAATGAAACGTCCGAGTTCCCTCAGTTTCTGTGCGATGTACCGGTGTTGCGATTGTTCACGTCCTTTTCTGGCAAACAGTGAATCTCCAAATATACAAATCATGTCATCACTTTGGATTTGTGCTGTGATATTATTTTGCAACATGCTTGAAATTACAGTTTGGGTTCCCTCTGAGGTTTTCTGCATCGGAAGGAGCACAGAAGAGACCGCTTGGATCAGTTTTCTTTTTGTTCCCAAATCTGTGCTTTCCTTTTTATTCCTACAAACTTTATCATGTCTCCATAGATCCCTTTTTTTAAACATGGCAAATAATCATTAACAGGTGCGTTAAGAGAGAGCCGCTTCCAGGTGACAAGCTCCCCTTTACCTTCTTTTAGCACTTTCTGATTATGCTGCCAGTCCCCCTTATTTCTCAGGGACTCAAGATGTGTCTTTCTTTCCTTGGAGCGAACTGGAAAGCTAAAAGCCTGAGCCACATCCGTTTCAGCCATGTGCTTCATCTCTAAATGGCGGGCAATTTTTAGATTAGGCTTTTGACAGTAAACACAGTAATGAGATTTGTCCCACACTCTTTTGCCATTTTTCTTACTACTAGTATTTACAGTCAATGCATTTGTCCCCGAGTTGTTTTTGAGGCGGTGGTAGTTTTTGGTGCGTCTTGTCTTTGGTCTGGACTCACATGTGTCAGAAAATACTGAAACGTTGCTGGATAATGTAGAGGAGGCTTGTACTCATCACTGGACCAGGCATCTGAAGATGGGCTACTCATCTGCAACATGCAAGATTTACAATTAGAATTCATCTGCATTTTGTTTAATACATTTCAACACATTTGAATTTTACAATACATTTAAAATGATTTTTGGAAATTACTCCAAGAAGTCCTGAATCCAAAACACGTTCTAAAGTAAGTAATATTCTTATATAGTGCATTTCAGAGACCAAGGGGAAAAAATAAATAAAATAATAATCGCTTGCTCATACAATTTTCATAATTCAGCAATTGATTTTAGAAGGCCTCCATCTTTTTTGAAGTTTCAGAGATCAGAACCACAGACCCACGCACAGACCCAGACCCACAGAACAACGCGCAGACCCGCGCACAGACACAGACCCACAGAACCACGCACAGACCCAGACCCGCGCACAGACACAGACCCAGACCCGCGCATAGACCCAGACCCGCGCACAGACCCAGACCCATGCGCAGACCCAGACCCAGACACAGACCCACGCCGCCATCAAACGAACTTACCGCTGAGCACCACGTTTTGTATTTAAAACATTGGATTTGATACGGAGAAGTTACTTTGGCCGGAGTTATTACAATGAAAAGCACTCACTTTACCCACAGAAATAAGACAGAGGTACTTACCGCATCGGCTCTGCTCTCACGCGCCATCTCTCCGGTTCGTCGCCGTGTGCTCCTCGCGTGGTCCTCGTGTGCACGTGAACTCAGACAGAACGTGCATTCGTTTCACGCGTGGCTCATTGTGCGCTCTCATTGGTTAAGATACACAGTGTTGTGATTGGTTAAATCCACCTGCAAGCTGTTTCTTTCTCCCTCAAAAAATATAGTTTTTAACTTATTAATTTTACAATTACAACATTTCAAAGTTTTCAAATGAAACTTGTTCCTGGTGAACTCGTGTTAAAGCCCTTTCCTGTACTGTGTGTGTTAAAACAACACATTTAAACATGTTTAGTTTTAGGCTGTGATACTAAGTGCACAGGGGGCGGGACCGTAGGCTACTCTGATTGGCTGATCCAGAGTGGGCCATCAAAGAGAAACAATGTTTCAATCTGCAGCTGCAGAATCCAAGGCCTGGACTGAGACCTGAACTGAGACCTGAACTGAGACCTGGCCTGAGACCTGGACTGAGACCTGAACTGAGACCTGGACTGAGACCTGAACTGAGACCTGGACTGAGACCTGAACTGAGACCTGAACTGAGACCTGAACTGAGACCTGAACTGAGACTGGACTGAGACCTGACTGAGACCTGAGACTGAAGACCTGAAACTGAACTGAGACCTGAACTAAGACTGAACTGAGACCTGAACTGATAAACTTAGAACGTATGTTCAGGGCTGCAGGAGACACATGCGCACAGTCAAAAATATAGTCATACAATCAAACAAAAATACAACACAGTAAAAAAGGCTATTGGCTGGCATTACATTTGATGAAAAAAATCATCTCAAGCTTCTGTTTGTAACATCAAAAAATCGAAATAATGGAAAAGAGACAAAATCGGAAAATTATATATATATATAGGAGCTGGAGAGGGCCTGGAGGGTAAAGGTGACAGTAGTGCCCGTGGTGATCGGTGCACTCGGGGCAGTGACCCCGAAGCTAGAAGAGTGGTTACAGCGGATCCCCGGAACAACCTCGGACATCTCGGTCCAGAAATGTGCAGTGCTAGGAACAGCAAAGATACTGCGCAGAACCCTCAAGCTCCCAGGCCTCTGGTAGAGGACCCGAGCTTAGAGAGGTATAAGCGCCCACGGAGGGCCAGGTGAGTGGACAATTAATATATATATATAAATAAATATATATATATATATTTATATATTCCTACATAAAACAGCTATAGTGTATTCAATTTTAAAATATTGATATATATCTGATAATTGACACAGCCCTAATTACCCGCCCCTGACTCAAAACTGCAGACGAATCACCACAGATTTCAGTCTAGCAATCAAATGAGCCTCGTCCTCTTCAACACAAAACATGGATCATATGAAGTTTCTGAGTGTTTCATAATTCAAATTAGTGAGAGACACAGTTCCTCCAGCTGAGACACAGTCCATCCAGCTGAGACACAGTCCATCCAGCTGAGAGACACAGTCCATCCAGCTGAGAGACACAGTCCATCCAGCTGAGAGACAGTCCATCCAGCTGAGACACAGTCCATCCAGCTGAGAGACACAGTCCATCCATCCAGTGAGAGACAGTCCATCCAGCTGAGAGACACAGTCCATCCAGCTGAGAGACACAGTCCATCCAGCTGAGAGACACAGTCCATCCAGCTGAGACACAGTCCATTCAGCTGAGAGACAGTCCATCCAGCTGAGACACAGTCCATCCAGCTGAGAGACACAGTCCATCCAGCTGAGACACAGTCCATCCAGCTGAGACACAGTCCATCCAGCTGAGACACAGTCCATCCAGCTGAGAGACAGTCCATCCAGCTGAGAGACACAGTCCATCCAGCTGAGAGACACAGTCCATCCAGAGAGACACAGTCCATCCAGCTGAGAGACAGTCCATCCAGCTGAGACACAGTCCATCCAGCTGAGAGACACAGTCCATCCAGCTGAGAGACACAGTCCATCCAGCTGAGACACAGTCCATCCAGCTGAGAGACACAGTCCATCCAGCTGAGAGACACAGTCCATCCAGCTGAGAGACACAGTCCATCGCAGAGAGAGACACAGTCCATCCAGCTGAGAGACACAGTCCATCCAGCTGAGAGACAGTCCATCCAGCTGAGAGACACAGTCCATCCAGCTGAGACACAGTCCATCCAGCTGAGAGACACAGTCCATCCAGCTGAGACACAGTCCATCCAGCTGAGACACAGTCCATCCAGCTGAGACACAGTCCATCCAGCTGAGAGACACAGTCCATCCAGCTGAGAGACACAGTCCATCCAGCTGAGAGACACAGTCCATCCAGCTGAGACACAGTCCATCCAGCTGAGAGACACAGTCCATCCAGCTGAGAGACACAGTCTCACGAGACAGTCCATCCAGCTGAGAGACAGTCCAGTCCATCCAGCTGAGACACACAGTCCATCCAGCTGAGAGACACAGTCCATCCAGCTGAGACACAGTCCATCCAGTCCATCCAGCTGAGAGACACAGTCCATCCAGCTGAGAGACACAGTCCATCCAGCTGAGAGACAGTCCATCCAGCTGAGAGACACAGTCCATCCAGCTGAGAGACACAGTCCATCCAGCTGAGACACAGTCCATCCAGCTGAGAGACAGTCCATCCAGCTGAGAGACACAGTCCATCCAGCTGAGACACAGTCCATCCAGCTGAGAGACAGTCCATCCAGAGAGACACAGTCCATCCAGCTGAGACACAGTCCATCCAGCTGAGAGACACAGTCCATCCAGCTGAGAGACACAGTCCATCCAGCTGAGAGACACAGTCCATCCAGCTGAGAGACAGTCCATCCAGCTGAGACACAGTCCATCCATCCAGCTGAGAGACACAGTCCATCCAGCTGAGAGACACAGTCCATCCAGCTGAGAGACACAGTCCATCCAGAGAGACACAGTCCATCCAGCTGAGAGACACAGTCCATCCAGCTGAGAGACACAGTCCATCCAGCTGAGAGACACAGTCCCATCTGAGAGACACAGTCCATCCAGCTGAGAGCCAAATCACACTTCACACTCTCTGCCAATCGTCCCAGAGCTGAAGGTGCTGGTCTATTGGAGCCGAACAGGACAACATCATCCCGCAAACACAAGATCGATATCCAGTGGTCCCCAAACTGGACCCCCTCTGGCCCCTTGCTCATGTTTCCAAACCGGTCCGTGACTCTGGTTCCAAACTCGGCCCTCGCTCGGTATCCTGACCACGCGCGTTTTATGGGTCCGCGCTCGTACATGCCACGCGCGTCCTATGGTCCGCGCGTCCCGGATACATGTCCACTGCGTCTATGGTCCCCGCTCGTTACATCCACGCGTCATGGTCCTCGCTCGGTACAGTACCACGCCGTCTATGGCCGCTCATCCGGATACATGACCACGCGCGTCTATGTCCAGCTCGGTACATGACCACGCCGGTCTATGGTCCACGCTGGTACATTACCACGCGCGTCTAGGTCCGCGCTCCGGTACATGACCCACGCGCGTCTATGGTCCCGCGCTCGTACATGACACGCAGCGTCTATGGTCCCGCGCTCGGTACAATGACCCAGCGCGTCATGGTCCGCGTTGGGTACATGACCATGGGGCCGGGGCGCGCGACTATGTCCGCGCTGGGTACATGACCACGCGCGTCTATGGTCCACGTCTCCGATAACATGAACCACGCGCGTCTATGGTCCACGCTCGGTACATGACCTACGCGCGTCTATGGTGCTCGCTCGGTACATGACCACGCCCGTCTATGGTCCCGCGCTGGGTACTATGACCACGCGCCGTCTATGGTCCTCGCTCGGTACATGACGCAACGCGCGTCTATGGTCCTCGCTCGGTACATGACCACCCGCGTCTATGGTCCACGCACGGTCCATGACCGACCCGCGTCTAAGGTCCTCGCTCGGTAACATGACCACACCGCGTCTATGGGTCCCACCGCTCTGGTACCCTGACACACCGTTGCGTCAATGGTCCGCATCTCGATACATGACCACGTCGCGTCTATGGTCCTCAAGCTCGGATATAAGACCACGCGCGTCTATGGTCCACAGCTACGGTACATGACCACGTGCGTCTATGGTCCTCGCTCGGTACATGACCAAGGCCCCCCCCGCACGTCTATGGTCCTCGCTCCGTATATGACCACGCACACTTGCTGAGCTGTCGACAGCGCCATAGGGTTTCTCCCGGGACAGAACGAGTATGTTATGCACTACGACCCCCCAGGGAGGAGCGCCACACTATTTGAGAAGGACTGGTCAATGTGAAGTAACGCAAAAGCGCTTACTTAACTCAAGTGGATAGTCACGATTCGAACCACTTATGAGCACCCCCTGCCTATGAGTCCTAAAAAAAAAAAAAATAAAAATTTTTGGTACAGGCCATGTAGCATAGTTGTGTGCAGAATTCCTGCAGTGTAATCAGTGAAGAGGAAGGGAGCAAGAATGTACCCTGTGGTGCTCCTTTATGCTCACAAAAGTCCCAAACACGCTCTTCCCTAACCTGACATACTGTGACACACAGTGAGGTAATTTATAATATCCAGTTTGGATAAAGATGGGATCAACTCTCTTCCAGTTTACCCCATCATAAAGGAGAGGTGGTTGGTGTTAAAATCACACTATTCTCTTCCTCAAATACTGGGCGCCCACTCATTTGGGCCAATAGGAAGCAAGTAGCCTAAGCGAGTGCCCGAGCATTTGAAACGTTGGATTCTGGTTCAGTCTGTATTAGAGGGGTGGTGCTGAGTTTGGGACTTTTCGAATAAATTTTGACCCTCTGAATGAGCTTAATTATCATGATAATCTTTCTCCCTTTAAGGCCCCCCATCGAGAACCGAGCGCCCCCTGGAGGTGCTAACCTCTACACCGTTGGACTTGTCTCATGGCCCACTAACACATATTTTAATTCAAGAGTGTACCCCCTGTAGAACCAAAATTGACCTTGTTTGGCTTGGCAAGTCACACCCTGGGCTGAGGCTTGCAACCACTACCCCTTTAGCAGGGCGTTTTGAAC